ATTGTATTATTTATTTATATCACGTTGTTTCAGTTTCTCTGTATTCATTTTGATCTCATTTGGCAGAATTGCTCAATATCCTGATGCAGTAGGAAGCAAGTCTTGAAGAACCACAATGCCACACCTTCTCTTTTGGAGACGAGAGGAATGCATTTCCTCTGACCCAACAATAAGTCATTTCCTCACAGCAAAAACACCTAATGTGACAGAACAAGGACACACAGACGGGCATAACCAGGACAGTTTTCCTGGGACACGCAAACAGTCATCTGAGTGGAAAATATCTAATGCTGTGTGGCATAAAATGAAACCGGAACTTTATCAGTTTCACTTTGCAAAAAAAAATAGCATGCAACTAAAGACATAAACAGTCTTTATTAATAAAATATAAATAAAAAAAATAATAGAGAAGTGTTGCATTTCTAGAGGTTTGCATATAAGGCATCCTGAAGAAGTGCTGCGTCATTCCAATCAGGCAGTCGCAACAGAGGAAAGCATGTTTTTAGAGAACAGATAAGCATTTTAACCTGTCCAGCACATAAATGTCTAACATTAGGGCCATTATTTGTGTGCCAACGGTCACATTTGGCTTTAGTTGCAGTGCAATAACTATGATGTAATAAAATTAAATTACCCCACACTGTAACCCACTGCTCCCTTTCTTGGTTGTTGAAGGAAATGTTTGAGAAGGTAATGCTATTTTTACTGTAAAAATTATTCTTTCAAGGGTGCTAATTACAGCTTGTAAAACCCCAGATAAAAAAAAAACACTCTCTGTACAATGCGCAGACTGTATGACTGTACTGTAGCTAATTTCTGTAACATTAAACATGCAATATCCATGCAGATTATTCTGATAATGCACAATTCAAGATTTCATTCTGTGAAATCACTGCTCAACGGTCTAATCTGCCTGCCATCTGGACACTTTTGATGATGTAGACAGAAATGTCAAACCAATGCACATCACATGCTGCTTGTGATGTCATGAAGCATAAATCAGCACATCAAACACCTGATTAAATTTGTACTGGCTTATTTTTCAACCAACTCCATAGTATGAACACCTGAAGGCCCTTCAGGTTGCCAGTGGCAACTGCAGAGTCCGACTGCAGAAGGTCAATGAAGGAGGGATAGAGATGTGGCCTTGCATACACATATATTATATTTCATCCCGGTCTTCAAATTACACCTAAGCATTACAGAATATATTAATGCCATTATTTATTTCAAATGATCACAGCATAATGGTTGCTAATAATGCATACCCTGCTGAAAACAACAAATCAGACCAAAGCTGTTCAGGTGGGTCATTCGGTTGCTTGAAAACCACCTTAAACCAGCTAAAACTGGTAAACCACCTTAAAGGGGTCATATGATGCGATCTTTGGAGTGTTACACAAGCTCTTGGTGCATAAAGAAGATCTGTAAAGTTGCAAAGAC